TCACATAGTCAAGTCCTGAGCCTTCCCTGCTTGCTCGCTGCGCCCCGAGGCTCCAGGGTGTCTGGCTGGGCCTCTCTGGTCAGAATCTTGGGAGCGCAGTTGGTCCCGAGTAGACTCCAGCGAGGGCTTTGGCAAAGCCCACTCATGGTGCTAACCAGCTTGCTTTTTCTCTGCTTAGGGGCCAGCCCTCCATAACAGGGACCGGGCCAGGAGCAGGTGGCCACTCCCCCACTTGGGCCCCACTGTCCTCAGAAAGCAGCAGCTGCCATCATGGGGAATATCTTTGGGAACCTCCTCAAGAGCCTGATTGGGAAGAAGGAGATGCGCATCCTGATGGTGGGCCTGGATGCCGCCGGGAAGACCACCATCCTGTACAAGCTGAAATTGGGGGAGATCGTCACCACCATCCCCACCATTGGTAAGGGCCCAGCGAGGACTCTGGCTTCCCGTGCCAGTGCCTCAGGCAGGACAGAGGGCCTGCTCCCCCTCCTGGGCCTCTTCTCTGGGGGCAAGCCTGTGCACTTTGTGGGGCCCCAGGAAGGTCGGTCACACAGCTTCCCGGCAGGTGCCCGGCCTGCTGCGTGCCCACCTGCTCTGGCCCTCCCTGATGCGGGAACTTCCACAGCCTGGCACTCAACCATTGCCCACGGGCACTCGAGTTGATGTGTTCTCTCTGTTGTGTGGAAAGCTTTGATCTTCGTGCCCGAGGCCTGGGATTTCCCGTTACATGTAGATCTTTGGTGGCCCTCATCCTGGTTAAGACCTGCCTGTGGCAGCGAGAGCGTTTGCCCTTTGATAGGATGCTCCAGGAGGTCAGCTGCCTCTGCCTTGGGGCTCCAGGCCTGGAGCTGACTACACTCACTGCATCTCACCTCTCCGGCCTGTAGGAGTGGGACCAGTTCTTTCTTTGTAGAGGGGAGACTACAGATGGAGAGGACGGCTGGGGAAGGCTGGGTCAGGTTACCTAGGCAGTCATGAGTCTTCTTGGCTGGCTCTCCCGGTCCTCTTCCACTTCTCTGGGGCCTTCAAGCGACTAGTCCAGGAACACAAGGTCTGGGGAAACCTTGGCTGGCTTTTATCGCTAGGGTTGCAGTCCTTTGCTGGGGTAGGGCCAAAGCTGGGGAAAACAGCCACCCCCTTGGGGCATTGCTTGCAGGCCTGGTGTTTGAGGCCTATTGGTCATTACCTGCTTTTCCCAAAGGGTTCAATGTGGAAACAGTGGAATACAAGAACATCAGCTTCACGGTTTGGGATGTGGGTGGCCAGGACAAGATTCGGCCCCTCTGGAGACACTACTTCCAGAACACCCAAGGTATGGCTAATGAACTGCCCGGGGCTGGGCCCACACTGTGATGACAGAGGGTGGCCGTTTCCCCGGGTTATGGGCAGCCAGTCCTTGCCCTGCTGCGGCTCCTGGGGCAATGGAAAGGGAGCAGATATGTGGTTGGTGCAAGGCTGTCTTTGGGGGTGGTGATGCTGGGGACCCTCACCTGCCTCCTGTGTGCAGCCAAGCTCTGCCCCCTCCCCAGGGTTGATATTTGTAGTGGACAGCAATGACCGGGAGCGTGTCAACGAGGCTCGGGAGGAGCTGATGAGGATGCTGGCGGAGGACGAGCTGCGGGATGCGGTGCTGCTCGTCTTTGCAAACAAACAGGTGCGACTTCACCCCAGCCCGGAACAGGGCGGGCAGCCAGGGGCCTCGCGTTCATGAGGGGGAAGGCTTGTGACTGGGCTCTGGTGTCTGGAAGTGGGGGAGATGGAGGCAGTCGGCTTCTCTGTGCCCCCTCTTCTTGTCACTCAGCCCAGCTTCTGTTAGCAGCACCTCCGTCCTGTTGTGTGGTAGGTCGGTGCCCTTGACTCCTCCTCTGAGCTTCCTGTTTCCTCTTCACGGAAACTGCCCTTGCTCCCAGGGTCCCTCACCTAGTCCCAACCACCCCTCCGACGCCTAGAATAGCTGAATCGGAAACCGCTCCTTAGGGTGTGCTGGGTTTCGCACAGGAAGGTAGGAGGGCTCGATCGCTCACTGCCATCGAGGCGGTGCCGACTCAGAGCAACCCTATAGGACAGGGTAGAACTGCCTCTCTTGGTTTCCAAGGCTGTGACTATAAGAGTAGAAAGCCTCGTCTTTTTCCTGGTAGGAGGAAAGGACACTGGTTTTTGCCTGTTAGTGGCTGGAGGCTGTAGAAGCTTTGGAACGTTCCTGACACTCCTCTGTATGGATCTCTCACCCTCCAGGATCTGCCTAATGCTATGAATGCCGCGGAGATCACAGACAAGCTGGGCCTGCATTCCCTGCGTCACCGCAACTGGTACATTCAAGCCACCTGCGCCACCAGTGGGGACGGGCTGTACGAAGGCCTGGACTGGCTGGCCAATCAGCTCAAAAACAAGAAGTGAGAGCCAGGCAGCCTTGTTGGCCGCACCCCACCCAGCCCACACACCTGTCTCCTGTCCCCTCCTTCCCGTTGCAAGTGTGGCCAGGACCCCTGGGTATCACATCCGCATGCCCAGCAAGAGCCTTGCCTCTCACCCCTCCCCGGTCCGGCAACACGGTCAGTCCAGTTCCTCCGTTGCTGTCCTGATGATGAATCATTCCAATTTACTGGATTTAAAACAAAAGCAAGATTGTTATGATTTCATGGGTTGCCCCTCCCCCCCTTTCTCGCCTTCTAAGATTGGGGGGAATGGGCTGGAGTGGGGTGTTCTCTCTGTTTGCTTCGTTCGGCTCTGGCTGCTGTGTTCTTGGCATCTCAGTCCCTGCCTTGGCCCCCTAAGTCCCTGCCTTCCTCCTGCCTTTGCCCCCTCTCCCCGTCCTCCATGAAATTGCACGGGCCTCTGTGTGTGTGCGTGCATGTGTACGCGTGTGTGTACACATATAGAGATGTATATATAGGGGCCGAGCAGGAGGGTGGAGGGGCTGGAGTGCAGCTTAGGGTTTAGAGCCGGGACACTGCTCCTTCTTCTGCTCTCTCTGGTGTGAGAAAGGGAGGGTGCAGTCAGGCTGGGCTCCCCCATGGGAGACTTTCCTGGGCGATGGGCCTGACGATGAGGGATTCTCCATCACCCGCCTGTACCCCTTTTCCTACCCCACTCAGGCAGGGAGGTGGCATTTGTCTCTATTAGATACTGCCCCTACAGGAGATGCCATTCTGCTCTGCCTTGTGAGTGGTAGGGGAGAGGAGCCCCCCAGGGCGTCCCAGTGCCCCTCCCCGCCCCCCTGATCTGAGTACTGGGGGAGGACCTCAGGTTTTCCATCTCCATTCTGTTTTCCTGTCTCCCTGCCCTCACCCCCACCAACCCCTTCCCTCTGGGCTTGGGAGGCTGGTTCATGTAGTTCTATCACCCCACCAATCCTGCTGCCCTGGCTGCGATGCCAGGTGGGGGTGGCTGAGCAGACCTGACTATCAACCTCCCCACCCCAAAGCTCTTCTTTTAGTCTAGTATGTGCCCTCAGACCACCCTGTGCCCCCCTCTGCCCCTTCCTATTCCCCTGCCCTTGTGCCAGTTTCCGTCAGTGGCTCTGGGCGTCGGAGTGGAGGAGATAGAACTCAGAAGGGGTTGTTGGTGCTTGTGGGATGCAGTGGTCTATTGTGTGGACGCTACTGCGTCTCTGCACTCGTGCCCGTGGACCTGGCCCCTGACCTCTGGCCCCTGCGGTTTCTGTGAAGCTGCCTCCGCTGCTCTGGGGGCTCGTGTGTGTGCTGGCTGCACCCTGAGCTCCGAAGGTCAGGGCTCAGGCTCTCCCCACAGCCCAGCCAAGGGACTCCTTTCCAAAAGGCTTGCCCCAAGCTCTACTTCCCTGGCCAGGCTCCTGCCCCTGAGCCTAAAGCAGGCAGTTCAATAACCCCTCCCCCAACTGCAAAGCGAACTGTGACAGAGGGTCCCCGGGCCGCTCCTCAGTGCCAGTTACTTAAGTGTTGTGTTGCTTACCCAGGAGGCAGTGGGTGTGTACAGGTATCTTGTACCCCATGTGGCAGGGGTGTGGTGGGGGGCAGGCTAGAGGGTCTCTCGTTTTAAAACGTAATTGTTCTCATGACCCCACAGCTGTTCCCCTTCTTTGCCCCCGTCCCTCAGTTCCTGATTTTCCCCCTTGCCCATCCCTGCTGTTCCCTCTCTCTGAACTCTGCCTTCTCAATTCACTGCCTCCTGCTTTCTCTCCCTCCCCCCCCTCCCCTGGCTCTGTAGCTCTGTGGTGGGAGGGAGGCCTGCCTGCTCTCCTGTCTCACGCCCTCCCTTCCCCTCCCCTGTTAGATGCCACTCTGAAACAGGTTCTCCTCATTTGGGCCCTTTCCACTGTTGCGTTGTGGCGGGGCCTCTGGGTGTTGGGAGCAGCCTGAGGTTGGCCTTGGTACTGGCCTATCTGTCCAGCAGGGGGCGTACGGGACTTCTTTCCTAGGGTAGAGGGTGGCCCAGCCACATCCCCATTCACCTCGCAGCCCTTGGGGATTGGTGTTTTATTCCATTCCTACCTACTAACTCCTCCACCTCCTCCTCCCCTTCTGGTGGGTTTACTTTTATGCTTTTCCTTGTTCCGGCCTTTCTTCTCCTGGGGGTTCCACACCACCACCACCACTACCACCCCCTCCCGCCCTCACAAAAAAGTTTGTTTGTGGTGTTATAGTGGTAACTGCAGTTCTGAGCTGGTTTTTCTCTTCTTTTTTCCTCCTCTGGAATGTAGACTGTATATGTTTAATATCTCACCTTCTCTATCCTTGCTCAAAACGTGGGATTCGCAGTGACTGTGACCCTGGTTGGAAATTAAACTGTTTTATGCAGCTTTGGAGCGGACCGTATCCTTGCTGTGCAGCGCCGGTCCGGGCACTTCTCTCACCCTAGCCTGCTCCTCAGCAGACCACTTGCCAGGGGCCCAGGGGTAATGGAGAAACTGAGCTTCGCTTCCTTTTCCCACTGTAGCCCAAGAACAGAGCCCAGGTGTATGAGGGCTTCGTGGGCAACTTTGCTGCTTTGAGTTCTAAAGGGTTTAACCCTGAACTTCACCACACATGACACTGCAGGATGGCTTTGTTCTTGTCGGTCTCAGGAGTCCCCCACTCCCACACCATGCCCTCTCTGCTCTTAACAGAAAATATTTGCATTTTCCTTCTCTGACAGTTTTCTGTCACCCACAAGTTCCAATCTCCCCAGATTTTGCAGTGTGTTTATCACGTGCTGATAGACTTTAGGGACTCCACTGCCTGGAGGGCCTCACACTGCCACCTCTACCATATCGCCCATCCCTGCTTACCAGATGCTTCTAGTGGGAGCAGGGTTTGCGCTAGTACTGATGTAACTCCAGCTTAGGCAGAGATGGGAGTGTATTCCAGTCTGGACTTTGGCAGGCAACAAGCATGTTGGGTAAAGGTCTGGGCAGTGTGAGGAACCCGGTCCTCCTCCCGACTGCTGGCCAGCAGCAGCTTTGCTTCCGGCATGTGGTTCACCGCTGTCAGGATGCCAAGCCTCATCCAGGGCGATTCCACAAATGTCTTGGGAAAAGACGTTTTTCATAAAGCCTCCATCCTCCATCCCACTCCCACTCCCACTCCCCTGATCCTCCCTGCTGCTACTGCCTTAATGGCCAGCAAAGAAGGGGCTCATGCCCCAGTGGGCCTCAGTGAGCTCTGGGTGAGCCATGAAGACCACCCCCCTTGTCTCTTTCTGAGGCTTATCTAAGGACAGTTTCTTCCCATCTTGCTCCTGTGGGAAAGGGGCAGAGTTTAGGCATACAGGAAGTTTGAGAGCCCTTACTATCAGTGTGGAGCCCTGCTGGCAGAGTGGTCACATAGTGGGCTGTTGGCCATCAGGCCAGCAGTTCAAAGCCACCAGCGGCCCTTCAAGAAAGAGGCAGCTTTCTACGCCCATAGAGTGACCAGTGTCGACAACCTACAGGGCCAGTTCTGGGTGAGGGGCCTGTGACAGGGGCAGTGACTTGGTGTGTAATACCAGCGTGAAGTATGTCATTTGTATTCAGTCACCTCCCTACTGCCTCCCCTGCCAATTTGGTCATCTATCTCCCTTCCCGCCCCTCCTCTGTTATTAATAAGCCATCACTGCAGGAGCAGCGCCGCTGACCCCAAGCGGCTCCACCCAGACAGCCCCTTAGCAGCCCTGCCGCCTCCTGACATCTCCAAATCTATGCCGCTTCCTCCCCAAGACCAGGCTCCTCACAGCCCTGCCTGGTGAAGTTGTGGCTGGCAAGTGAAGAACCCTTTCCTGAAGTGCTTTATTTGTGAATAAATAAGTAGACGTCTTCGAAAATGATAGCTTCTCCTAAGATTTGGAGGGAGAGGATCTAGCCTAATGACAGGTCACCTGGGGGGTCTTCTGATCCACAAACAACTTGCAAACGCAGCGCTTGTCTCCTGATGCCTCGGAGGAGTTAGTGGAGGGTGCCCTCTGGTGGCAGTTGCCTCAACCTTCCACCCTTTGCCGGGGATGGGCAGGACACATGGAAGAAAGGCGGGGGGCACTCAGCCTGGGAGAGAGATGCGTGGCCCTGGGATCTTGGGACAAAGACCCGCTCCATCTTTGCAAACTGAATAATTCTTCAGCCGCGGGCCCGAGGTCCGTTTGAGGATATCCTGGATAAGGTACTTTCCAAGAGGAGCCTGGAGCAGGTCAGCGGGAGGGGTTGTCTGACTGGCATGGCATTCTACCTGGCCTGGAGAACAAAGGTACCCTGTCCTGGAGAGAGTGGGCTGGGGCAGTGGCCTGGCGAAGGAGTGAGGCCAGTGTGTCCGAGCTTGATGGAGGCTTGGCTGGAAGCGGGTCTGAAGGCACTGGGATTTGCTGTGCCACTTCCTGTTGGGATGCCTAGGCTGATGTCAGCAGAACCTTGACAAGTATTTAGTGCTCTGTGCTAAGAATGGGCCGAGATGGAGGAGCCTGGGATGCTCTGGAATCTTCTGGGCTCTCCATAGTGAACTGCACGGGGTAGTGAGTTGGGGTATTTGTATCTGGGGACATTTCTCTGCTCCTGCTGCGCCGTGACCGAGTGCAGGGAGTGGTGTCTTGGGGCAGGCCATTGGGGGGGGGAGGTAGATGGGTCAGAGTCCGGCTCTCTTTTTACCCCAGGAACTGGAGGGGGGGGGCATCCTGCTGGTTACTGGGGTGTGATAGGATCTGGATGCTTTCTTTCTGTGGCAGGTTTTGTGTGTCATCATCCTTTCCTCCCTCCTGCCCCTCCCCGGTGGGGACTGTAAGGATGATCCCAGATTCTGAAGGGAAAGAGGGTCCAGACGAGGAAATGGAGCCCTGAGTCTGGCTAGAGCCGGGAGCAAAGCCGCTGAGGGCCCTGCGCTCAGAGGTGTGAGGAACTTGGGGTCAAGAGTGGAGGTCAGTGCTGGTGTGTGTCACGTTAGCACCAACTGCAGGAGAGTTTCTGAGCTCCTATTCAGGAGCAAATGTGGCTTCTGAGCTAAGCCTGGTGGGATTAGAGGTGACCCTCGAGCCAGAACTCTGGCTCTCTCTGCCCTGAGCTGACCACTTGTACACACCCTCACCAACCAGACTGAGAAGTCTCTCAACATTTCTGCTCAGTCGATACAGGCCTAGCAGGCTGTTTGAGACTGACAGGCACTCATCTTCCACCTGCTGTCCCACCCATCAATGAGAGCCACCCTGGGGCAGAACTGAGCCTGGGACTTCTTAAAGGCTAGAGGGCTTCACCTGAGGCTCTGAGCGCCAGGATCTGGATGCTGAAATCTGAATGTCAGAGAGCTGGAAGCACGCACTTCAGTCAGGGTTACAGATGGGAGCTGGGGGAGATCTCTGGCTTGGGCCCTGCCGGATCTTGCATTGATGGAACGATCCCATTCTGGCCAGAACAGTCACAGAAGAGAGTGGCGGCTGCTTCCTTCTTGGATGAATGAGCTTAGAACCAGACCTAAATGAAAACCGGCAATCAGCCCAGGTAATCCTGCTCCAGAAAATATGGCCTCCCGAGTTTGAACCCAGATGCGCACGTTGATTGGCAGGCTTTTCATTTGACAGCCCCTTAAAAACAAACATTTAAAAAGCAGTGCTGGGTGTTCGCTATTGGGTATATAGTAACACTCACCCTTGAGGAATGAACAAGTGAATGGAAAGGCATCACAGCTCTTAACCAAGCTGGGCCTGAGTGGGAGGAAGTCTCCTCCTAGACCTTAGCAGTGGTTCTCAGCCTTCCTAATGCCTTGACCCTTTCATACAATTCCTCAGG